ATATTCACACAGAAAACAGCTGTTTTAAATTGAAATAATATTTCACAATATTGCTAAATAAATAAATGCAGCCTTGGTGAGCAGAAGAGACTCACAATGTAAAACATTAAAAAATCTTCCCAACCCCAAACTTTTGTAATGTGTGTATATATATATATATATATATATATATATATATATACATGCATGCATGCATGCATGCATAATAAATATACACATATATATTATGTAAACAAATCTTTTATTTTGGATGCGATTAATCATTTTAAAAGCACTAATAATAATATTGTTTTTTTTTCTCTTATAAATGCACATTTGATAGTAGTAGTAGTAGTAGTATCAGCTTTATTTAGGATGCGGATTTTTATTTTTGTTCATTATCACCATTAGTAACATCTGTAAAAATTGTAGCAACCTCATTTTTATATGGTGAAAATTTATTATTATTATTATTATTATTATTATTATTATTATTTTTAATTAATCATTGGTCTTCCATGGTAGCATACATTTAAATCGTGGTAAACACAGTTAAAACCACACATATAGCACACCTCAATACCATGGTAAAAATATAACTATATGGTTTAGGAATTTGTATGAAAAACAGTAATCTAAAACATTTAGTATAGGCTAAATGCACACATGCTATAGCTTAATCATAAAAATACTGTAATTATATTCCATTACTCCCTTTAATACATTTAATACATGTCTACATTAACAATATAATAAAATTCAATACAAATACCCACATTTCTGACACAATACCACAATAATTATCCATCGCGATAATTATCGTTATCGATTTATCACGATGTAGATACATCAAGATGTAGATGAGTTTTTCTTGAGTAGATCAGTAAAGAAGATTTTTAGCTGAAAGCGTCGTCCTTGGTGATTCATATAATGCAAGTCAATGGCTGCCGTCACTTTAAGAGTCAAACAAAGCATATACAGGCAACAAAAAAATGAATACCTGTGGCTCCTGACGATATATTGAGGTCTTATGAAACGAAACGATCAGTCTGTGCAAGAAAGATCTCTTTAAATTTGGTTTGATCAAATTTAAGGTCTTAAAAAGTCTGATAGGATAATAAAATGAACCTTTAATTATTTTAAGAGGTCTTAAGTAAATGTTTCAAAGTCAAGTCATGTTGCCATAGCATAGTCATTTCAAAATAAGAGTCCTTGTGTATTTTGGGCTTGTTTATGATTAAAAGTACATTATGCATCTTTTTTGTTTTTAATTGGTATTTTTGTTCACCCATTTCTCATCTTTTTGAATAAGCAGCCGGACGTAGTAAAGCATAGCCATTTCAAAATAAGAGTCCTTGTAGTATTTTGGGCTTGTGTTTTTATTTAATAAGTCTTTTATTATGGATGAAACCTTTTTTTTTTTTTTTTTTTAGTTTGGTTACTATTCGTATTTTAGTTTCCATATTTCACTCGAGCAGTTAGAACTAGCAAAGCTTAGCCATTTCAAAATAAGAGTCGGTGTATTTTAGGTTTGTTTTTGATTAAAAGTCCATTATGCATATAGTCTTTTTAGTTTGCCTATTATTTGTGTTTTGGATCCCATATTTTTCATCTTTTTGAATGAGCAACCGAAAGTAGTAGATAATATACATTTCAAAATAAGAGTCCCAGTGTATTTTTGGTCTTTATCGATTAAAATATTTTTTTCCTGGTTATTATTGGTATTTTGGTTACAATCTGGCATTTAAATCAATGTAAGCTCTTATATCTTCTCTCTGGGTCGCCCCTGTCACAGGAAAGAAAGACTAAAAGTATTATTTTTATTTTATTTTTAAAAGCATTATATTATCGTATAAGTGAAATCAATATTGACGGATCTCTACTTCATGTGTATTGATATATGAGAACAGAAACCAATTTCATATATATGTAAATATTAGATAAAACACATCTTGAGTATTTAAACCAAACTTGCAGCTGAATGTACTTAAGTCTGTTTAATTAAGTAAAAGAATTTGAGATACTTGATTTAATTTGGGATTATATGGGTTTGTTCTGTAACGGCATTCTGTATTAAGTCTTAAAAACTCTTAAATTTGATTTCTAAACTCTGCAGAAGCCCTGTGTTATTATAAAGTGGGCCACGGATCCTGCTTCTGCCGTCTCGCTCCAAGGCCTGCCATGCACGAGTTATTTCTGTCATCATTATATGGTTAGCGGTCGAGGAAGCCTACATTCACATAGCGGCACATCTTCCAGACGTCCTCACCTGTGGCTGCGTCGCGGCCTGAAGAAAGCAAAATGCGCTGCTGCTGTCAGATCGGAGCTGATTAAGGGTTTCTGACTCGGTGTTCAGAGCAGAAAATGATTTTCTCAGCTTTCCTCGGCTTGATAATGACCTAATTAACCCGATCATCCAAGTCGTTAGCTGGCCAATTGCGCTAGACTCGGTTCCTCGCTCTGAGTTTCATTAAATGTTCACTAGTTAGTTTTCTAATCATTCATGAGTCATTCTGAGTAATTAGTTCTTAATGTGGTTTTTCAAATAGAATCCATGCACAAATAGAATCCATGCACAAATAGAATCCATGTGCTGCACTGTGTTTTTCCTTTGACTTCAGGTCATTTAACAGCCTCGCAACAGTGAGTAAGTCCATGGGTTTCCGCGCGCAAAACTTTTCTTTTGTTTAGACCTGGTTTTGAGTTTTTGTTTGACTGTGACACTGATCTGCCTTTGTTTTTGTTTTTTGTTTTTTGTCTGATCTTGACTGATCTGGTGGAAAAATTCAAGTTTACTATGCAACTCATAATACTATGAATTTCAGTTTTGCGAAATTGACAATGATTTCACTTAAGCTGGGAAAATATAAACTAAATCCAAATGTCAAATTGGTTCCATGCCTTAAAATTTCATATTTGTTGATATTTCTGTCAGAGCTTTCTCTATTGTGTAGGCATTGTTTTCAATTGAAGCAATGTTAAAAATGTTGCAAAAAATATTTATACTATCATCATTTTAAATTATTATTAATAATAAAAGTAAAATTAAAAATATTAAAGTTAATCATATTTTTAATTTTAATATCATTTTTTATATTTTATATAGTTTAAATTTATTGCACTGTTTAATTTATTATACGTCAAGTATGCGTTTATGTAATTAATTATATATATATATATATATATATATATAT